GACTAACTGTTCTCTAACAGAATAGTAAGTTTTCCGTTATCTTTGACCAAGTAGACGAAATTTAAATGAATTTGAAAGTTAATAGACCACTTAGAAATAAAACATAGTTTTTAGACTAAAATGAAATCAAGGTAATAATTAATAGACTAAAAATTAAATTAAGCTAGCTCTTTATGGTTTATTTTAAATTTTGAATTTTAAATTTTTATAATATGTTTTGTTTAAAAAAATATAAATAAAAGAGAGTGAGGTGAGATATTAACAAATTAAATTGTAATAACTAACATTAGAATTTAATTGATCAAAAAATTCATCCCTCGTATTTCCTCTTTTTATGTTTTTTTTTTTCAAACAAAATATACCCTTAAGTTCTCTTTATCAGTATTTTTGTTGTTTTCTAATTTTCTAATGTTGATTCTTATATTTAATAATCAATTACTATATGGACAATAATTAATATACTTTTTGATAATACACACTACATAACACATTTCAGTTCAATCATTAAAATTTCTTTTTAAAAATTTTTTTGTCATAAATTTAAATTTAAAAATAATAATGTTTTAATAAATATATTATAAAGTGTATTAAATCGAAAGATGTACAAATTATTCTCCTTACTGTACATGGTAACCAATGAGGGCTTAGATCCAATAGTTTAATGCTTACAGACTAAGAGCCTGTTTAGTGCAGCTTGTTGGAACTTTTACTTTTTAGAGTATTATTCATGAGTGATGAATTTAAATTTTTATTAGAGGAAAAATTTAAAAATTGCTTTTAGAAATAGGAAAAAATGAGTAAAAAAAAAGTTTATGAAAAATTTGAATATAAAATTTTTGATCTTTTACTGTTTAGGGTTTTTTTAAAGGTAAAAAAAAATTAAAAAATATAAGTTTTTTTTAAAAAAATTTTAACTTATAAAATATAAATAGTATCAAAAAGTTGAAGCACTTGATAAGTTGCATCAAACACACCTAAGGCCCTACGAATTCTGCAATTGAGGCTGTGGTTGGACTTCAGCCAATCATGGATTTTCTCCGAATTTTTTTTCTTAATCTTGTATTATGTTGATGCTGTGGTGTATGTGCCGTATACAATCGTGTATTATTTTATACTTTACATAAAAGTTTTAACATATATTAATATTGAATTTTTTTATTTTATAATTTAAATTATAAAAAATTTTAAAATATAAATCATTAAATAAAAAAAACACTTAATAACATGAGATTTATTTTTTATTTAATAATTTATATTATATAATTTAAAGTTGAAACTAAAACTTAATATTCTATCGAAGTTAAAGTTGGGACATGACAGGGATCCTTGAATATCTAGCACTTGAGTTATCTGTCTTGATCATATATATGAAACCCACAACAGATTTCATTGCAAAACAGTGAAGGGTGAAATGACATAATTTTGGAGCTTCTAATAATTAAAATCTATCACTTCGTTTTTTGGGTACTGATTAGAATCCACAACTGATCTATCTCTAATAATTTCAAGATTTTCCGACATTTTTGACAAAGTCATGCACTTAGTGGGATAAAAAGTTTGTTCAAGTTGTTTTTCTTTTTCATTATAAGTGGGTTGGGCAAAAAAAGTTTATAATCCCATAATCCCCTTTCCCACACTATCTCTATATTAAATTGATCATTTTGAAAACTTTATAATTAAGTATACCATATCATCCAAATATATTATTCAAAATGAAATTTGAAACACCTTTAATATAACTTTTTCTCTTCTAAAATTACAGAAAACATCCCCTCATTGGCTTTGGGTTCAAATCCTTTGTATCATTCTTATGTACCACTTTGAGTATCTCTTCTTTTGAACTGCCACTTGTTCTTAACTTTTCCAAATCAAGAGATCTGCGAAGTTACAAAAATAAATAGTAGGATTCGGTTTAAGGGGGAGTAATCATAACAAAGTAATATTTAAACAATTTAAAAATTAAGATCACCTAAATTTTAAAAAATAAAAAAATCTTCAACCACAAACCCTTAAAGCTCAAGTATTAAAAATCAAATCTTTTTTTTTTTTGCCCTCACCTTATTTTTGTTTGTGTAAGAGGTTTTCTTTTCTCTTTAATATAATTTCTCGTTTTCGTGTTTTGTGTACGGAAACATATGTTTTGGGGGTTTTTCTTTTTATTGGGTTTTGCCTGGTTTCATTTTGGATTTCTTCGAATTCCATTTTATTTCTCGGTTTTGGGAGGTTTATTAAAAAAAAAATCTTTCTTTTTGGGTCAAGTAAAATATGTACAAATATAACACATGTAAACCCTTGAAGAGGTGGATGAAATGATACAGACACTTGACTTCATGTTCGAGACCTTAACTTAAAATGTTTGGGATGAAGATGACTTCTAAACCATGCATAACAAGTTTTAATTAAAATTTTATATTTTTACATCTTTATGCACAAAAGAAACAATTTCATATTCATTTAGTATGGTTGTGATTTTTTATTTTGATTTTATAGATTTTATAACTCAAACAAAATATTTGTTTACTTTGATTTTTTTTTTCAATATATTATCATCATTATTATAGAAAAAAAATTTATATTAAAAAATTTTATATTTTTTATTTAAATCTAATTTTCTTATTATCATTGTTAAAACTTATCTTAAATAAATTATTAATTTTTTATTTTTATTTTTATTTTTAATAATTATAAAATTTATATAAATAAAAAATTACAATCATACTAAATAAAAATTATAAAATTTTTAACTAAATCGCACCACAAACGGTAAGACATTTTGTCCATGAAAATAATGGGTTTACGTCGAACAGAGTTGGCTCCCCACGTTGAGTGGAAGAACACTATTAAGCCCATTAACATATTTGGACTTTTGTTTCTCAAAGGTGCTCTAACAGCTTAAGTGAATGTCTTTTGGAGTTTGGAGAAGAGTTATTAATGTTAGTTTTAATTTAATAAATCATATATTTTAAATTATATATAATAATAATTATTAACAGTTAAATACTAACTATTTACTATTAAATTGAATTAAAATAGTTAATTCAAATATCCCTTAATATTGCATGGTGTAGGGATAAGTATTTTTAGGTATAGGTTAAGTATGAGTTATATTCAATATTTGACTTAATTTTTTTTTTTTGTATAATTTTTTAAATTTGATACCTATCTAACTATCTAAAGATCTATACTTGATACTTAGTCTAATTTATTGTGAATAACTTATCAGTATACTTGTGTACTTATTGAAACACTAGACTTCAAATTACTATTCAAATTAAAATAATTTTTTATGTAACGAATTAAAATACAATTAAGCAAATAAATATATATTAATAAAATTCAAACTAAAGTCACCTACTCAACCAAATAATCATTCATAACGAGAAATAAATTAAATTTAAAAGAAAAAAGATTTTTCTAATATATGCTCTTATGATACGGGTTAAGTGTATTTTTTTATAATAAATTTATATAGAAAAATAAAAAAAAAAATTTAAAGTCAATGTCACGTGACTAAATTTAATTAAATAATTAATAAATTAAATGTTACTTTTTATTTTTTTTTCAAAACTCCTAACCTAAAGACACATGTTACAAAAACCCTTAAAAAAATTATAATCAAAAAGTTAAATTTTTTTAATTTTTTAAAATTTTAATTTAGTAATTAAAGTGCAATATTTG